TACACTCCACTCCCACCACTCTTGGCTCTGTTACCCTGTGTACTTTCATCACAACTCTGTTTGGCATTCTACTATATGTAAATGTTTCCCCATTTATTGTCCATATTCTCCATGAGAATGGGGGCTCCATTAGGGTAGGACCATGCCTGTTGCCCTTCCTGCTGTGTCTCCAGCTCCTAGAACATAGTTCATGCTTATTCACAGTCATTGAATGAATGCATGAATGAATTCACAGGAACAACAGATGAAATTCCATGAAGAGTGGACAAAACATGAAAAGAGGACAAAGTGTAAATCTTTGGGGAAATATTGAAACTGAGGGCAAAAAACAGCACTCTAAAGGAAGTGAAATTTCAGCTCCAGTTTACAAAGGATGGAGAGAACACAGCACACACCTGGGAACCCAATGAGAAAGGCATCAAGCTGTCCTCATTTCTCTGCCCCAACTATAAGAATGTTTTCTAATAGCAAACTTGAGCATGCATAAAACCCCCGGACAGATCATGATAAAGCAGTCTCCCAGTTCAAGGAGGCACTGTCCCCTGTGATCCTGAGGTACTCATTTAAAGGGGGTTCATGCCAGGACCCTGAGGCCACAGCACTCCTGGGGCTCCATCACCTCCATCACCTCTGAGCTGGGACAAAGCAACTGCCTCATAACACCCTGGGAATCTGCGTGGGCTGCTTGTGGCTCCTTCAGAAGTCAAGGCACAGTTCTTAAGAAAACAGTGAGATGCTTGGGAGTGACCCCTTTTATTAGTTAGGTTCACCATCTTAGCCATAGAGAGACCATAGTGTTTGTCCATAGCCTGAAATACTCAAAGGCCACAGTGCTGAAAAGAGGGCAAGCCTTTAGGCCTCTTTGTGGCCATTAATCCCTGATGATTTCTTCCTTTTGCATCAAAAAAGCTTTCTTGTATTTTTTTTAAAAGAGGGGGAGAAAACAGCTGTGCAGGATTTGAGAATGAGATTTTAATGGTCACTGAAAACGCACAAAAGCTCTGCTGTGATAGCGAAGTATTCTGGGGCCAATTGCCTCCTTTGTCTGGGACAGCAGCACAAACCTGCTGCTCAAGGAGAGAAGCAACTGGGAACTTATAATTGAGGCCAGATCTCCAGCACATTTGCAAAGGGCTGTTTCCCTTTGTGACACTCAAAGGCTGTGTTTAGCGTTTAGCTCATTTTTACCTTGTGAAAGAAACAAATGTATTTGGAAGGTGTTTGGCATGAATTATTTCCGTAGGTCTTTCTCTCTGAAAGGAAAATGGAGAGTGTGGCTGACAACATGAGGTTGTTTATGTGAAGCAGGCTTTTCATTGTGAGCAGGGCCCTCTTGTCCACGGGGCAGCCTGAGGGGCATTTCTCAGCCCTTTGATCATTTAAGAAATTGCAACAGATGTGGGATATTGTGAAGCCTCTCAAAATGGAACCTTGAAAAGGTTTGGGGGCTGGGGGTGGGGTGGGGAGGGCGGATAGCTAAATAGTTTCAAGGAGGAGTGACACCAAAGAGCCCTGGAAGCCCACTGATAGTCCTTCAGTGAGAACCAGGTCTGGGCTTGTCCACAGGGGGAGAGGAGGAGGCACGATGGAGCAGTCACAGTAATCTGCCTCTACAAATTAGGATTCATGGTCTGCTGGGATCATAGTCACCATGTGGGCACTTTCCCTGTAGGTAAATGGCTAGAGGGACTCTGGACAGCCTAGCTTTTGTTTGTTTTCTGCCAGTCTTCATGACAGCTTAGCTCATGAGAGCCATGAGGCGTTATTCGTTTATTTATTGGTCCACTGTAGACACTGTGATAGCCCGGTTAGACACATCGTGGTGTGTCATGAATTCTAGAAATAATTCAGCCCCACTTTTCATGGCACGTGGGCTGGAAGCAGAGTGGCTGTGGAAACCATTGTCTAGCAGGGCTGCAGTTAGAGAGTAAGTCTGGAATTACAGACTGTCTGCCATAGATTTATGAATACTATTCATCCCAATACCATTTTCCAAGAAGGCAAGATGGGTCCATTTTTAATTTTAAAAATCGTAAAATTCTGTAAAAATGATATATGAATATTTAAAAAGAAACACAATACAAAAAGCACTGAGATTTAGATATTAGCATAGACTTTATTGGTTGTGTGCACTCACTTGTAGTAATAGTACTGAAATATGACATATTTTCATTATGATCCCAAAGCCTCATTTTTAAAGATTATGGAATAAATAATGAAGACACATTTTTATTACTGATGAGAGAGATAACTTTGCCATGTTTAACCCTAAGATTGCATAGACAAATTTTATTTGTAGGGTAGGATGAAGAGATTTCCACCTTACAGACAGACATGTGAGAGATATAACAGCTAACTTTATTGTGTGATTTTTTTTTTCTATTTCTTGGCAGCTTGTGTATAAAAGAGAACATGTTTGTTCCAGTCAAACTCTCCTAACCCCATAGAGAACCTTGACAGTCTTGAATAGTGCTTCAGTCTGCACTATTTTTTTTTTAGTATATAACAGTGTATAGGGAGTTTTGTAGTGACATTTCCATGTATGCATACAAGGTACCCCAGTTTGGTTCATTCACTCCATTATTCTCCCTCGTCCCCTTCTTACTTCTTAAAATGACTGGCAGGTTTCCATGTTTCATAGTCATACATGTGTAGAAAACACATCAACCATATTCACCCTCCTTTACCCTCTTCATTCACACTCCTCCTTGCTGTTACCCTCCCCCCTTAACATGACCCGTTTTACATTCCTGTCCCTCAGTGTTTTAGTGTCAGTTTATTGTTCAGTGGGGTTTTGCCTTATTATTTTACCTGTAAATACATTGTACTTTAATCCCTCTAACCCCACTATTACTCTCCCTACCCTTTCCCCCTACTCTGTGTTGTCAGCAGTTTTCAGTGTGTTTCGTTGTGTCTTATTCCTACACAGATGTGATATATTTTGATACTACTCACTATCATTCTCTTCTTTCTCTCTTCCCTTAGTCTCCTAACAGTCCCCCTATTGGAAACATGACCTATGTATCTATCTATCATCTATCTTTATATATGATAATGCTTATATTTGTATTTGGATCTATCTTCCACATATGAGAGAAAATTTGATCTTTATCTTTCTTGACCTGGCTTATGCTACTTAACATGTTTTCTAGTTCCATCCATTTACCTGCAAGTGACAAAGTTTCATTCTTATTTATGATCAAATAATATTCCATCGTATATAAATACCACATTTTCTTAATCCATTCATCAGTTGTGGGGCATCTGGGCTGTTTCCATAGATTGGCTATTGTGAATAATACTGCAATAAACATGGGTATTATTATATCTTGCCTGCAGATATGTGCCCAGAGGTGATGTTGCTGAATTATATGGCAGGTCTATTTTCAGTTTTTTGAGGAGCTTGCATACTGTTTTCCATAGTGGTTGTACTAATTTACATCTCCACTAACAGTGTATAAGAATTCCTTTTCCCCCACATCCTCACCAACATTTGTTGTTGTTTGTGCTATTGATGATAGCAGTTCTAACAGGAGTGAGGTAGAAGTGACATGGAATCTTAATGTGGTTTTGATTTTCATTTCTTTTATGGCTAGAGATGTTAAGTAGTTCTTCATGTGTTTTCTGGTCATTTGGACTTCTTCCTTTGAAAAATTTCTGTTCAGTTCATTTGCCCATTTCTTCATTGGGTCATTGATTCTTTGAGAGTTCAGTTTTTGAGCTTTCTGTAAATTTTGGTTATTAGTTCCTTGTCGGATGGCAAAGATTTTTTCCCATTCTGCCTCTTCAGTCTGATGACTGTTTCTTTTGCAGTGCAAGAAGCTTTTTAGCTTCATGCACTTTTGTTAAATAATCTTTTTCTCCCTTAAATTCAAAGTTCTTGATCTTACCATAGGTATATTTCACAAATTAGCTGTGCACACTTGATCAAATTATTGGAATCTCTGTTTCTGTAAAGGGGAGCTAATGATAGCACCTTGCTCCTTAGGGTTGCATTTAGGAACAAATGAGATGGTGCACATGAAGACTTTTGCGTGGTGTCTAGTATATCCAAAGTACCTAGCAAATGTTAGCTATTTTGATGGCTATAAGGATGATGTTTGACTGATATAATGCAGAGGCAAATTTAGTACACATACTTCTTATTCATACCCTAAAATAAGGTATGAATCCTTATTTAACTAACATCAGAGATAAAATCAGAAGCTCAATTTAGGGATTTCCTGATGGTTTATTCTTTTTATTTACTCTTTGGAATGCATTTTATGACAAACCTGAAGTGTGGTGTGTTTTGTAAGACCCTTGAGATCACTACCCATCCCAGCTACTGGAGGGAAAACTTTCCAAAACACAGCTTCTGGTCATGTTCCTATCCTTTTAGTAGCTCCTTTACCTGCAGAGTAAAATCCAAATGCTTGGCATTCAAGAACTTTTACAATCTATCCTCAAATTCCTTTCTTCCCTTTGCTTATATATATCATGCACAAATCTTTCTGACTTTCTCCTTTTTTATTTGGGGAGATTCTATGTGTCCTTCAAGGCCCAACACAAATGTGACCTTTGCTAGGAAGCCTTTAAGAATATTGCCAGCCAGAATTAACCAAACTGTCCTTTGTTTTTTCCAGCACTGAACCTGTGTTCAATGGGTGAATCTCACCTTTATAGTTGTCTGATAGTCCTCTAAAATCAGGTGATCTAGAGGGCTTTTTTAAAATATTACTTTAACCATCAAATAACTTCTGCTACAAAAATAATTAGGACCCCGACGATCACTGCCCCCAAAGAACTGATGATCTAGTGAGAAACAAACCTGTGAATGTCTAAACAGAGGTGATGAGGATCGGGAGCACAGAGGCAGTGCCCACGCTGTATATGAGGGGGTTCCCTGGGAAAGTGTGTGGTCCACGCCATCCATTTACCTTCATCTCTAGCACCCACGTCATCCTTCCTCTGCCTCTGTCCCTGCATTGACCAGACTGTCCCCTCTTTGGCTAGTCAGTTGCAGGGCTGGGACACATTACGACAGAGCACAAGAGCGCTGCATTTTGTGTCCAAATGGAGCCTTCCAAAATGAGGACGGACAAGTCACTTGTGAACCATGCCCAAGACCAGAAAATCTTGGGGCTCTGAAGATCTCAGAAGTCTGGAATGTGTCTGAATGTGGAGGTAAGGATGCTGTCGGTCTCCTGTACCCTTCCAATCTCTAATGTCATTGTTTACACTGAGGCACAGGGGCATCTCAAGGACATTGGATGACACACACTGGGCTTCCTACAAGTAGTGACCATGTTGGGCTCATCTTTGATTCTCCAGTGCCTGGTCAGCACCTGACATTCTGGGCTGATGCTCACGTGAGCCAGAGAATCAAGATAGGATGGAATACATTAGGGGAAAAGAGTAAATGTTGCAATTGCATGCTTGCTTTGCTCTAAATATGTACACCTGAGATCAAGGTGATCTCCCAGATCTATAGGGACTTTTTGAAAGTGATCAGTGGGGACTTGGGGCATGACTCAAGTGGTATAGCACCTGCCTAGTAATCATGAGGCTCTAATTCAAACCCTAGTAGCAAAAGAAAAAAGAAAAGAAAGTATTCAAATGAAGAAAGTAAGTCTGATTTTTTGTCCAGCTCTGATCTCAAGTTCAGAGCTTTTTGATTTAAAAGAAATATGTTCACCTGGTTATTTTATTAAAACTAGGAGCTCCTTTGTGAAGAGTTTTTAATCATGTCATAAAATGTTAACTTCAGAGCCAACCTCAGTTAGGTTCTGTGGACTGCTTTCCTATTCGTGCTCTTATTGAATGGGAGAAGACGGGCTGTGTCGACCAATGTGGGCTTGGATGAAAGGTCTGATCTAAATGGTGGTTTCTGCTACCTCCCACAGTAGACCTTCTTCATGATGGACCACCTGCCACTTGACAATGAGTCTAGACAACAACTCCCAGAATCTTTCCCCAGAGATAATGACCAACCAGACCACACCTGTGACTGGGACTGTTTCGCTATGCCTACTTTTGTTTCCTACTCCCAGTTCTTTGTCTACTTAAACCTTTAACTCAGTCTGTACCCTGAAGATGGCAGAAGATGGGCCAAGTGCTTACTCTGCCTCTCCCCACTGTATGTCCCAAGCCGTGTAATAAACCATCTTCCTCTACCTTCAAAAAAAAAATGGTGGTTTCTAGTTGGTGGACACAGTGGCGTGCTGGGCCCCTGTGCTGAGCCCACAGCAGGGTGGGATGGGGTTGCTGTCTGATGGCTCTCCTTTCAGTGCCTCCTGGCTCCATCTTCACTTCCTACCTAGATGACTCCAAACTCAACTGCAGGGCTATTTTTGCTTAAAAATTAGGTTCTCTGAACAATATCTTGGGCCTGTAATGAAACACCATAACTGTCTGCAAGGTTGATAAGGGTAGACTTTTGGGAATCTGTTCATCTGTGTATGTGACTTTACTAAGACATAACAATAAGAAAGTCAGTAATAATAATAAGAGCTAACCTTTTTGAATACTTACTTTTGCCAGACATCTTGCTAAGTGTATAATGTGAATTATTCATGAGGTGGTTAAATCACTACAACAACTTTGTGAGGCTAAAGTAACTCATTCCAGATCACACAGCCAAGAAGTAAAGGATTTGGAGTCAGAACCCAGGTCTGACTGGCTCCAGACTCCTCCCTTGAGTGTGTTCTTTCAATGTCATTATACCTACAACTAATGGATAAAAAGAAGGCATTAAAATTAATAGCGGGGACATGCTCAAGATTATAAGAGATTTTTATAGCATCTTTCCAATGCCATGCTAATTCCTAAGGAACATGTGCTTTTAGGAATATTTTTCCTAGCCTTGAAAAAAATAAATCATTGCTTCAAGTAAATGTCACTAGGTCCTTCTGTCAAAGTGCAGTGGGTTGGTTGGATTTAGTATACTAACTGAGGTAGGCCAGCACACACCTCAGGGCAAGGAGATGTAAGTTAGTAAATATAATTGGTAAAACAGACTCTTCAGGTCACTCTTTTTGTCACTAAGATGCAATCAGCGGTGTGAGGATATACTTCTGGATCCAATTACCAAATAGATTCCAGAGCAGAGAACTTTCTCTATAGGGTCTCCTGCATTACAGGGGTCCCTAGACAGGGTTTCAGCCTGAACCTGAGACATACCTAGGGCTTTCCTACACTTTGGAAGCAGGTGACATTTGACTCCTTGGTATCTGTCTTTACAGTGTGCTGTGTAGCCCTATGTGTAAAGTTTTGGTGCTCACTTACCTGCTCCATACTCAGGGTCAGCAGTAGAGCAGGGTTGGCTGTGTACTTCTCTCACTGAGGTGGCAGCTCAGGGAAACACAAAGTAAAGGCCTCATCAAAGGCTGATCTCATCTGCAGAGAGGTGAGGAAGGGTCTGCCCAGAAGCCTCAGTCACCTAGGGCCATTGGTTCCCCCAGGTCTGTGCCAACCTGGTGAATATTCTGCAGATGGCTTCACACCTTGCCAGCTCTGTGCCCTGGGCACATTCCAGCCTGAAGCCGGCCGTACTTCCTGCTTCCCCTGTGGAGGAGGCCTCTCCACCAAACATCTGGGAGCCACTTCCTTCCAGGACTGTGAAACTAGAGGTGAGCACTTGACAACTTGCCTGTTCCTAGAACTAAATTTCCCTTTTGAGTACCATGGGAGTCTGATGAAGTCTGATCCACCCAGCCCAGTTGTGCCACATGTGGTGCTGCAATGGTCAGGGGTTCAGGTCCCTTTGCAGGCGTGCTCCCCCAAGCTCCCAGCATATGGTCTCCCCCAGGTACCTTGGCCCCTTTGGATGGGGCTGAGTGGGACAATCAGGGAGACCTGAGCAGGTGTTGCATACAGGCTTATTCAGCTGCTTCTCTCCAGCCCTCTTTTGCCTCAGTGTCCTACCCTTTCTCTAGTACCCCGCTCCTGCTGCCTCTCTCAGGAAGCCCAAGTCTAAGCCCACCCTTGGTGTACACCCTCATTACTCAGACCACACTCACTCTGCTAAAGACTTCTAAAGACTTCAGTCTTTAGCACCGCTTGCCTCTGCATGAACCAAAAACTCTTCGAAAATATGCACATCTCTTGTTCCTTTATATCTTCTCAGTGTCATGAGTCCCTCCCACACTGGCTATTTAGGGAAATAAGTATTGATCAGCTCCAGATTGGTGGGAAAGCACTAATTTGTTTGGGTATACCAATTCGTTTCACAAACTTTGAAACCTTGTGTGTTGCATTTTATAAAAATAGTCTTCTTTTTTTCATTCTCATTGCCCTCCCTGGCTGCACAGTTCAGTGTTCACCTGGACATTTCTACAACACCACCACTCACCGATGTATTCGTTGCCCAGCTGGGACATACCAGCCCGAATTTGGAAAAAATAACTGTGTTTCCTGCCCAGGAAATACCACGACTGACTTTGATGGCTCCACAAACATAACGCAGTGTAAAAGTAGGTCTTTCCCAAAGGCTTTTCACAGTCTGGATTAGAGGGCAAGTGTCTGGGACCAGTGTGGGCAAGGTGAGGGGCAGGTGGCCAGGGTTCCTGGGTTTATTCAGAACCATGTGGATGTTGTTGACCCAGCTCACATCTACAAAGATCAGCACTGATAGCTTTGACCCAGAAGTGCCTGTGTGCATGTGTGTATGTGTTGTGTGTGTTGTTGGGGATTGAACCCAGGGCCTAACACATACTAAGTACATACTGGGCCACTAAGCTCTACTCCAGCCCCTAATCTCCTTCACTGGTCCTGGATACTTCCCCAGGCACACTCCTGCTCTACTTGCCTTACTTTCTCCCTTGGTGGCAAAATTTCATTTTAGCCCTGTCAGCATGCTTTGTTGGAGGACTAGTCCTATGCCAGGCACCCTACTAAGTCAGCCTGGCTGACCTTGCAGAGAACCAAGGCTGTGGGAATGGTCTGGAGAGAAAGAAGAGGTGGAGGGCATGGAAGGTTTGGATGGATAAGGTGGGGGCAGAGCAAGAGAGAACTCTGTGCCAGGAGGAGCGGCTGGGGAAAGCACAGAATCAAGAAAGCAAAAAAACTTCCCAGAGAGACCCCTTGGAATTGGCAAACTAATAAGGGAGGACTTGAATGTGTGCTAAGGAGTTTAATTTGATCTGTTGACAAGTCATTTAAGGACTTGATGTGTGGGGTTTTCCCTTCCTTACCTATTAACATGAAATTCTCCCCCTTACCTATTAACATGAAATTCTCCAGTAAAGTAAATCTCAGTTAATTGTGTATCTTTAAGACAGCAGTCCAGGGGAGCAAGAAGGCCTCCCCAAATCGGAGGAGTTTGGGATTAAAGGAGTAGTGAATCATTTGAATTTTATGGTTGGAAGGTTATCTGATTTTCTGTACCAACGAACTCCTTTGTAATGGCATCCTTGCAAGTAGCAATGGGCTTTCCTCTTGAATATCTGCTATGATGGGATGTTCACTACCTTTCATTACATCCTGGAATGTTGCTGGATAGACTTTGGGGAAGTTCACAGGACCAGGAAGTTCTTCCTCACACCAAGACGACTCTATTTCCCTTGTCTTCCTACTTCCTTGCTCTTGATTGGCCATTAGGAGCCACAAGGCCCCATTCCTCTGCAGCCCTCAGACCTAAAAGGGGTTCTCAGTTTTATGGCTTTTTTTCTCCCCCTTTCCTCCTCCTCCTCCTTTTTCTTCTTCTTCTTCTTCTTCTACTCCTTCTTCTTCTTCTTCTACTCTCACTTTTATTACTGTATATTAATTGAGCAAAGGGGTTTCACTGGGCTATTTCCATACATGCATGTAATGTACCTTGAACAAATTCCCTCCCTCTACCTCCCTCTCTTTTCTTCCAAGAAGAAAAGCCTGTTTATTTTTTCCTCTACTAGTAATAACTTCCGGTCATCATCAGAGAAGACCCAGTAATCCTTTCACTGTCTCTTGCACGTTTACCCACAGTGTTAAAACAGTAAGCTCCTTGAGGGTGCAGTGTCTCTTGCCCGGAGCCTTGGGAGGTGCGGTGGGTGTGTGCGGACTCAGTGAATGAAGATAAGGCTGAGAGACTGTCGCCTGTACCTGCATTCTTTGCCTTTGGTGCCAGAGCTGAAGACCCAGCACATGCCCAGTACTGACTGATACCTAATTGGAACTTCACTTAAAAATAAAATCTAGTTTTAACCAGAGAAAAGTGGGGAACAACAGAACAACAAACAAAAGCCATGTTTTGTTCCTGTCTCTCAATCAAAGATCCTCATGAAAAGTCCTTCTCCTACACATGAGACAATGAGCTGTGTTCTCCATACTTTTGAAAACAGAACCTAAGGGAAGTTCTGTGGTCAAGCGAAGGATTGCCCCGTGGGCACCGTGAATGGAAGCCAGCAGGCACTGTTCAGGCCTAACTGAGAGAGCTCATGCTGTTTGGCTCCCAAAGAGGCCTTGAGTGTCACAGGACACACTCCTGAGATGGAGTTATATCCATTTCCCCTCCTCGATGGTGATAGGAATGCTACAGTTATCAGCCCAGCTAGCAGTGGCCCTGGCAGAGAGATGACAGTGTTGTACCCTCATAATTCATGACATTTCCTTTCCAGACAGAAGATGCGGAGGAGAACTGGGAGACTTCACAGGATACATAGAGTCCCCAAACTACCCGGGCAACTACCCAGCCAACACTGAGTGCACTTGGACCATCAGCCCCCGCCCTAAGCGGGTTTTTTTTTTTTAGTTTTTTTGTTTGGTTTCTTCTTTTATTTTTTAAAGGTTTCTTTGTCATTTTTTGTTCTCTTTTCCTTCTTTTTTTTGCTCTCCAGTCTTTTTTTTTGATTTTCCCAGTCTTTTTTCACCTCCGTCTTCCTTTTATGTTCCACACCTGGGGCCTTGTACCGATTTGATTGGGTCCCGAGATTTTTCCCTGCCAATAGGACGACTGTGGAGACTACCTGGTGATGCGGAAAACCTGTGCGTCTCACCCTCTGCTTCCCTCCCCTTCCAAGGCCATCTCGGAAATCTGACAACCTGCTCCCAGGCTTTAAATGTGAGGAGCAGGCCTAGGCTGACAGAGATGGAACCTGTGTTTATAGAGTTGTCAAGGAACAAAACTTAGACTGAAACCATGCGTTGAGGCCTTTGCTAAACCTCAGAGCCAGGACTCCTGCAGGGTAGTCTTCCCCTCTGTGCACACCGGGCTGATGCGGACCCTCTACAGCAGGATCCAGAGGGCCAATGAGGCTTAGGCAGCACTGGCTCCAGACATTGCCTCACTCTGGGTAGCAACTCATGGTTTGGGAACTGACTAAGGTCAAAGGCATGGTTCAGCCAGGAAGGGCCCCCCTCTCCTCCTATCCTGATTTATGGCCCAATGTCCATAAAGGGACACTGCCATCAATGCAGCTTAATGGCAGTGCCCTGAGTGGGCTCAATCCCAGCTCTACCTCTTACAGCCTCCATGATCTTGGGTGTACCTTCCAAACCTTCTGCACTGTAGTCTCCTTGGCAGTTAAAGTGGGGAAGTAACGGTTGCTCTCATGTAGAGTTTCTAGGACTAAAGGAGTTCCAATTTCTACGGCATTTAGAGTGACCATGGCACATGGAGCCACCATGTAAATGTTTTTTCTTATTATTAGTGGTTCAAATGCCTGAAGTCAGGTGAAGTTTGAATCCTGGACTTCCCACAGACTGGTGGTGTTGTGCAAGTGTTTAATCTGTGTAAAGGAGGCAACAATCAATCAACCATCGGTAGTTTTAGAGGATTGAGATAAAGTCTATAAAATGCTTAGCATGGCAGCTGTGGTAAATAGGAGTGAGCATGGTTAGGTAACAGTGTCCTGGTTCTTGAGTTCCAGGGCCCTTTCCCCAGCTGGGACAGTCTGGATGACTGCTGTTTCCCTGGCCATGGGCACGCTAGGCTTAGTCTTCACTGGGGCACACAATCCCCAGCTGACTCTATTTGATTTCCAGGGCTCTCCACTGTTAGGATGGCTCAGCTGGGCTTGTAAAGCTCTCGAATGTATCTAGTGCATGGTTTGCGCATTAAGAAAGATGAGTATTTGCTGCTGGCCTGCTCAGCGACGTGTCTTGAACCCCAATTTCCCTTGGCAGCTTCATCCAATTCTGTGACAACATATGAAACCTGCCAGACCTACGAACGCCCCATCGCCTTCACCTCCAGGTCAAAGAAGCTGTGGATTCAGTTCAAGTCCAACGAAGGGAACAGCGCCAAAGGGTTCCAGGTCCCCTATGTGACATATGATGGTAAGCCCGCGAAGGTCAGGCAGTGACCCAGTAGAGGCGGCTCTGCTTTGATCAGAACCAGCTGGCAGATTGCTGACGCATGCACATGTTCAGCAAAGCAGGCAGGGTGAGGGGAAAGGATATCGCTGACTTCATGAACACCACATTTTATTTTTCCTTTTTTTTTTTCAGAGCTGGGGACCATGTTTTAAAGTGGCTCTTGGGGACACTGGGTACAGGAATGAAAAGACAGTTTAGAAAATACATGAAAAGCAAGCATAGATTGGTGGGTAAGAACATGGGCACTTGAATCAGACAGCCCAGCTATTACCTCTTCTGTGACTTGTGTATTATCTGCCATCACTAAGCCTCATTTTCTCTTTTTCTTTCCTTCCTTTTTTTTTTTTTTTTTTTGTGATACTGGGGTTTGAACTGAGGTCCTTGCACTAGCTAGTAGACAGGTGCTCTCACTTGAGCCACTCTGCCATATCTTTTTGCTTTAGTTATCTTTCAGATAAGGTCTCATGTTTTTGCCTGGCGCTGACCTTGGACAGCAGTACTCTTACCTATGTGTCCAGCATAGCTGGGATTATAGTATGCCTTGCCACACTCAACTTATTTGTTGAGATAGGGGTCTCAATAACTTTTTGCCAGGGCTGGCCTCGAAGAGAGATCCTCCCATTCTTTGCCTTCTAAGTAGCAAGGATTACAGGTGTGAGCCACCATGCCCAGCCCTTCCCTTTATTTCCAGTGGGGATTAAATCCAGGGCTTTGCTCATGCTAAGCATGTGCTCTACCACTGAGCTGCACCCCATCTAAGCCTCATTTTCTTAATGTGTGATGAGGATAATCACTAGACTTACATGAGATTTTAGTGTGTGAGTTCCTAAAGGAGGTGGTGTAGTACCTGGCTACATAGTAACTGCTCAACAAATATCAACTTCTTATGAGAGTGACTTTTATTACATAGACTCCTACAGGAGGGAAAAAGACCTGAGTTCTGGTCCTGCCTGCCAATGACTTGCTGTGTGATCTTGAGCAAGCCAGATGATATCCTGCATTTCACTTTATTCATCTTTCAAGGTTTTTGTTCATTTTTTTTTTCCAGGGCTGCGGATTGAACCCAGGGCTTTGTGCATGCTAGGCAGGCTCTCTACCATGGAAATACATCCCCAGCCTCATGTGTTGTTTTTCTTCTTTTTAGTGGGACTGAGGTTTGAACTCAGGGCTGTTTGGACTTGCAAAGCAGGTGCTCTACTGCTTGAGCCACACCTCCAGTCTCCAGCCCCATTTTACTCATCTTAAATGAAGGGGATCCTTTTGATCCCTGGAGTCCTACTTATCTCTGAGAGTTGGTCAACAAGATTTATTAGGAGCATAAAGCAAACTGGACCTTGTCCTAGACGACCTCATAGTCTAGTGAGGGAAGAACCATCTGTTCATTCATTAACGTATCCACACATCACCTAACAAATATTTAATGGGCCTCCACTATGCCAGGCATTGAGCTAAGGGCTGAAGACAACCTGGTTAGTAGCAGAAACACAAGAACGTATATATTGCCACAGATGCTTTAATAGAGTGCACAGGGCACTGTGGACATAGAAGGGGCAGCAGTTATTCTGCATGGACTTTTGAAAGGAATAGAGCTCAGCACCCCAGAGAGGTTTGTGTCTTGAAAGAACATATAGGGGAGGAAGAGCCAGGCACTGGTGGCTCACATCTGTAATCCTAGCTACTTAGGAGGCTGAAATCAGGAGGATAGTCGTTCTAGGCTAGTGTGGGCAAAAAAGTTCATGAGATTGCATCTCAACAGAAAAAAGCTGGGCATGGTGGTGCATACTTGTTATCCCAGCTACTGCGGAAAGCATAAAATGGGAGAATTGGGTCCAGGCCAGCCTGGGCAAAAGCTGACACCCTATCTCACAAATAACCAGAAGAAAATAGAGCTGGAGGCTTGATTCAATAGTAGAGTGCCTGCCTAGCAAGCATGAAGTCTTGAGTTGAAACCCAGTACCACTAAAAAATAAAGAAAAATAAATGGGGAGGAAGAACATTCCAGAAGAGGGAATGGCATAGGATGGAGTGCCTGGCATGAGTGGGGTCTGATTTGGCCAGTGGGTGGACAGCAGGAGGCTTAGCAGTGAGAGGAGACTAGGGTTGGACAGTGAAGGGCTTCCAAGGCCAAGCTCAGGAGGGTAGACTCAATTTTATAGGAAGCCATTGAAGGGTTGTAGGCAAAGTGACAAAATTAAATGTGTGGAAAGACAGCATTTCTAAAAACACTTCACATGGTTTATTTCTAACATGTAACAAGAGCTAGGATCATCATCCCTGTCCTGCAGTTGCCTGAAATAGTGTCAAATGCTCAAGACAAGGGCACTCAATGTCTGACTCCTGGGGTGGAGGCAAAATGCCTCCTCTCGCCCTGCTGAGGAAGACACAGGGCCTAGCCACCTGCCTCAAAGCAGCTACCCAGCAACTCTCCTGTCTGGAATTAGGAAGGAAGCAAAACAGAAACTTGCAGAATTAGCCTCAGCAAGGCTCACACATTTTAGGATGGCCGCTCTCATCTTTGTCTTTGTGACATACGAAAGTGTCTCAACTATTTAATTATTTTCATGTAAAAGAATTGTAGCTTGGATCTGAGGAAATTACACGATGCCTCTGCAGAAAATAGTTGAAAACTGCTACCGTGGTCATTCAGGGACTGTCAGGACTTCGCTCAGAGTCTGTTTTTTTAAACGTACATTTCAAGCAAGTTTGCTATCCGCTTTCCAAGCCTAGAAGACTACAAATGACACTGATGGTGCAGTGAGCTGCAGCACCCTGGCTGCTGGCAAGGGGGAGGCCCGGAGTCGCAGCCAGCAGGTGTTGAGCATTGCTGAGAACCAGTGTGCGCTCAAGTGCCCATTACACAGCACGGCCCTCCCAGCTACTCTCGGAGCAGACACACTTTTTCCCCATTTCCCAGATGAAGCACTCAGGCTTAAAGATTTAAGAAAATGGCCCCATGTCACAGCACAACACAGTTACAGAGCTGCAGTGACCTAGGTTGGAGACTCCTGAGCTGGGTGCTTACCTACAACACTGCACTGATTTTCTAAGGACTGGAGTAAGGGAAGAGACACCGGAGCTCTTAGAAGCAGAGGAATTTTTTTTTCAGTGCTGGAGTAGAGGAAATATTTTTTAAAAGACAGCAACCTGGAAACATTTAGGGTAGTGGTAAACGCTGTCCGGTTTTCTGTTACACCATAGCACACAGCAACCTACGTTCCTCGTGGTAAACTCCCATCATGCGAAGAAACCCATCCTCTGAGGTAGAGACACTGGCACATGGACTCAAGGTTAAAAATGAAAATAAATGAAATTTGCACTCTTATTTTTTTATTTTTTTACCTTTTTTTTTGTGTGTGTGATAGGGTCTTATTATGTAGTCCAGACGGGTCTTGAACTCACACTTCTCTTGCCTCAGCCTCAAAAGTGCTAGGATTACAGATGTGCACCACCATGTCTGGCTTAAAACTTGTACATGTATTCTTATTTTATATTTATTATAATAAAAAAATAAAGAGAGTGCTGGCTGAATGGCTCAAATATTAAGAGAACCTGCCTAGAAAGCTTGAGGCCCTGAGTTCAAGTCTCAGTACTGTCTAAAAAATAAAATACTTGACCAAAATGAATATATAAAAATATAATAAAATAAAATATTCTAAAACAAAAACAGTAAGGAGAAAAACACATTCGTAGAGTAGCAATGACATTGTATGTGTATCAAATTAGCAATTAGGAGTAGTATAATATTAATTTCTACTTACCATCTCTTGACTGAAGAAACTTCCAGAGCTCCTCCCACACACTTTCAATGATGTTCTCATAATTCATGTAGCTTTGTAGCACAAGATATGCATACAAAGAGGCGGGCTTTAATATGTCTGGGATTTGGAAACAATTGCCTTTGCATATGCTTGATTTGAATTGACTGTGGGAAAGTGGGGAGGGATCACATTTGGATCACATATGTATGTCAGGGCAAAGATTATTAACATGCCAGGTGTGGTGGTGTTCTCTTGTCATCCTAGCACTCAGGAAGCTGAGGCAGGAGGATGGTGTGTTCAAGGTCAGCACAGACTACATAAACAAGACCTTGTTTCAAAAAAGAAAAAAATTATCCAGCCAAATTCTTCACCCGCAGGTCCATTCAAAGACAGGAGATGAGCCTTGCTTGATGGTTGAGAAGCTTGATTGTCTTACAGGCAGAGAGAAGGGGAGAGATGGAGAAGGAAAGAAAAGCCTGGATAAGCTTACCAGGGAGTGAACTAGGGAAGAGCAGAGCACCAGGATAGAGCTGTAGGCCCCTCTGACAGTAAAAGGCCAGTAAGCAGAGGACAAGCAAAGACTCCTAAGAGGGAGCAGCCAGTGAGGAAGGAGGAAAACCAAAGGGCACAGAGTCTTGGAAGCTTGGAGATGAACCCGATGAAGGAGGAGGTGACCCACCAGGTCAAATGCTACTGATGCATCAAGGAGGATGAGGACCAAGAGCTGACCATTGGACGTAGCAAGATGAAGGCTGTTGCTGGCCTCTGTAGTTTTGGAAGAGTGGTGGGGGCCAAAGATGATTGGATTGGGTTTAGGGGAGAAAGAAAAAAAACTGGAGACAGAGACTATTGCTCCAAAAGGGAGCAAGAAGTTGGATGGAGACTGGCAGGACAGATGAAGTCAAGGGAGGGATTTTTAAGCAGAGCCATAACTGCACATTTGCATGCTAATGGGAAAGACCAACAGAGAGAGAAAAAAATTTTTGTGAGAAAAAGTGCAGAATTACTGGCACAAATGCCCTTGATTTGGAGAGGGAAGATGGATCTGGTGTGCTGAGTGAAGGGCTGATCCTTGACTGGATGCACAGAGGGCTCATCCGAGGGAAGAGGATACAGATGGGTGTCAATATGGGTGAGAGGAGGTGGTGGGAGTCTGTGCAAGTTCTCTGCTGCTGCCTTCTTGGTATCAATATCGGAGTGGAGAATGTTCTGAGAGCAGCCACTACTTAGCAAAAATGAGAGTGAGTTTGAAAATAATTCAACCATAAGAAGCAAAATGTGTCTTTATTCCAACAGAAGACTACCAGGAACTCATTGAAGACATAGTTCGAGATGGCAGGCTTTACGCATCTGAGAACCACCAGGAAATACTCAAGGTGGGTTCTGGCCTCAGGTGGACATGATTTCATCCACAGAGCTCTCCAAGCACCCTGGAAGCAGGTTCTCCTGCTCTGCACGGTCAACTTTCAGACACCAAGTCTGCCCCAAGCCAAAGTCAGCTTCATCCTTTCCCCAGACTTAACTTCTCTAAAACAAAACAAAACAAAACAAAACAGGCTTCTGTCTTTAGTGTTGTTAAGTGAAATTGTAGTTTCCAATTTGGGAATCTGTGGAGGGGCAAAGCTGGGGGGTGCTTATAAATCCAGCCAGAGGCATGTAGTGTTTTCATATTAATTCCAAAGAATAAAAGACATTTTAGCTCCTTTCTTATCCTTTAAATCCAAAGCCCACCAAATTTTAGATACCTATAAGTAATTAATGACAATGCTTACCATATCACTAACCCTATAAATATTCCCCACATCCTTGTGTTGCATCTCATCTAGCTGAGAAAAAAGTTTTTTATATATTAAATTTTCTTTTCATAAAAGTAATGCATACTTATTATAGATAATTAGGAAAGATGAAAACTGAAAGGAAGATAAAAATCAGAGGAAACAATTTCCACAAAGTGTTTTTCAGCTAGTCAACCTACAACCTAATACTGGGTCATTATGGTTCCACTGCCAAAATATCAAAATGTTTAAATCTTTTGGCCTGGTAACAAAAATTCTGTTCTCTTTAGGATAAGAAATTGATCAAGGCTCTGTTTGACGTCCTGGCCCACCCCCAAAACTATTTCAAGTACACAGCCCAGGAGTCTCGAGAGATGTTCCCAAGATCTTTCATCCGATTGCTACGTTCCAAAGTGTCCCGGTTTTTGAGGCCTTACAAATGACTGCCCACGCGCCATTCAGTGCAAATGCCCCGCTGTGGGCTTGGTGGGCGGAGCTGTCCGCCTTCTGCATGCCGGCTCACAGTCGGAAATCACCGCCTCCAGCATTAGTGACTCGTTAGAGTTCAATTTTTATCGATAATACAGATATTTTGGTAAACTGAACTTGTTTTTTCCTTCTCAGCATTGTGGATGTGGACTAGAAGGGCTTTGAGTGACACTGGCTTCTCAATGCTGTGAGCACGTGTCTTGCATATAGTAAAGGCTGGCTGAGCTGGACTTCAGTCAGTATAGGGGAGACTCACCTGTCCTTCCTGGTTCTCACTCCCCCTGCAGTCTGCAGCGGAAAGGAGGTCACAGAAGGGATTGCTTTGTCTGATTCCCCTTTTCCTCCAGCCTCGTTCTCCCTGAGGGAGGTCATGCACTCATTTGCAGGCTCCCACCAGGCAGAACAGGAAAGTGAGCGCTCCAGGCACCATCGCCCACCCTGCAACTGGGAGGATTTGGTTTCCCCACAGCATTCTTCAGTTTCATCCTAGGAGCTTGAGTTCTAAGCAGTGATCATTAAAAAAATAATAATAATACTGAAAGCAGAAAAAATTTGAAATCAGAAAGATAAAAATGAAGTCTTTCCAGAGACATAATGTGTACACACTGTCCACCTAGGTGCCAGGTCACCACCAGCCCCAGCCTGCCAGAGCCCAGAGCTGGTTGTAGCACCCTCCGCTGTGCCCTCAGACATGCTGAGCACTGTGCTAGGGGTTGCAGAGCTCTGCCTGGATGTGATCTCCGTGGTGGATGGCAATCATCTACCATCACAGAAAGGAGATTTCACCAACCCTAAGTCACTACTGCAAGGCTCTGACTTCCACCAGGGGGCTCCCACCCAGCAGGGCTGAAGTCCTGGTGGAACTGGTGAGGCCACATGCCCTGTGTGCTTTCCTTTCCCAGCCTGCAAGGGCAGAGCTGACTGTGCTCCGAGGCATGGGCAACAGGCTCAGGGCAGCTCCACTTACCAAGAGCAGCTACAACCTGGCCTCTAAGGGCCACAAAGTCATGTCCTGCTGGTCAGCACAGTGGGACCTCACTAGCATTCCCTCCCACGTGAATTTGAATTTTCAATATTACTGCATTTTTAAACATTTAAATCCCTGGCAAAAATCTCATTATCAAGAATCCCATCAAATTATCTGCTATTTCCCTAATGGTTGGACTGACAGCACTCAGCCATAGCGTTTTGTTATTTCTGTGACAGTTCTACACACAATTTTGTATACCAAAGTACTAAAAAAATGTTTAACAGGTATTTTTGAAGAAAGCAAAGATGATTTCATCATGACTGTATTTGCCTTTCACCTCAGTGTTGCTGTTTTTAACCTTTAATAACACTGATTTCTAAAAAGCCTTTATGAAATGTTTTTTCTGTATTTGGATGGGTCCTTAGTGCTGATTTACAGGTTCTCTTCAAAAGTGTCATCATCTTCATTTTCAAAAAATCATTAAAATAAGCACTTGGAATTTGTTATTCTGGAACCTGGCCTGTATTTCTGGGTCTGACTGTAAAATGAAAATTCAAATGTAACATAACCTGAGGTGGTAAGCAGACTGATGCGGAGGTGGGGGTTGCACTGTGCCACCCTGTACAAGCACGTCAGTAACTTTGTGCGATAAAAGTGTGGTTTTCTACTGCCAATTCCATAAAAGGCTGGGGATAGGTTGGAAGGAATCTGCATAGACCTGTGGAAGCTCCCTCCAAGAGCTTGCCCCAGAGCTGTGCTTCTGGTGCAAACACGAGCCCCTGAGGCCCTCCTGAAGCTTTCTCTCTAGACCTGTCAATCACCTTAAGAGACGCTCTGGCCCTGTTGGACCACTGGCTGACTGGGGCTGCTGCTGCTGTTTGCTAAGTCAATAAATATTTATTGAACAGCTGCTCTGAGCCAGACATGGTTCTAGGCCCTCAGAGTGCACAGTGATAAAACAGATGGGGTGGCTGCCCTTGTGGAGCTTACATCTTAGAGGGAAAAGACAGACAATAAACAACTACATCAACACAAAAAGGATTGGCTAGTGGTAAGGGCTATGTTGAAAATTAATGTAACAGATGCCACCAGGGTGCTTTAGACTTTGGGACTGTAGATGGCCTCTATGAGGAAGTGACTAGAAGGAAGCTGCCTGGAGAAAAATCAGGGAAGAACATTCTAGAGAGAGGGAACCCAAGTATGGAGGCTGTGGGCAGCGCTGTCTTGGAAAAGATACCCCAAGGATAAGGGGGGATCATTGTGTGTAGATCGAGGAAGGCCAGGGGGCTCTGGATTCTGGGATCCCCTGTGCTGTACAGGGACTGTAGGAGGAAATAGGAGGAGGTCCACTGAGTTTCCACCTTCCCTCAAGAGAGCTGGTTCTGGGGGTGGTGGGGTTTCCACGTGGGGGTGGGAGCCCTGCAAGTCCTTCCTTGCAGCTGTGTCTATTGTTCTCTAGCCCTCACTGAGTGCTGCATCTGTGGATTTAGCAACATTTCCCTTGAGCTCCCAATACTAATGAAAGAGTTTGCCTTTTCACACTAACAAACAATTATCCTCACTTCGAAAAACTGCTTCCTCTGAATCATCCTCTGAGCTGTTAAGTGCGTCTGTAGGCACTCACAGGATTTAGGTTTGCAGGTGATTTTCAGATGTCATGTGGTAACTTGGGAAAAGCTGTGGCTGCACAGCACAAAGCAAAGACTCACTTGCCCTCTGGCAGATCTTTGCAAGAAGGACCAGGGCTGTTGCCTGCTGCAGACTGCCAAAGCTGATGGGCCTGTGCATGGTGAAACTTGGGGTCCCCTGCCGGGCCAAGCTGCAATCTTTTGCACCCAGAAGAAATGTGTCTGCATCAGCCTTACTAGGTTTGTCCATGTCTCTGCTTCCTGCCTCACAGCAGGACAGGTCCTAAAAGCCTTGCCCATGTCTACACACTCCTAGTCAGCATTTGGGAGGCTAATGGATCAGCAGAAGCCAAGTGGCCATCAGCAGCCTCCAAATCCAGGTCCTGGGAGAAGCCGATTGGGGCACATCCTCAGGAAATTAGAGACCTTAGTGAGGCTTCCTTTCTGTAACCATCTCCCACTCTAAGGGCTTGTAAGCCCAGTTCAGGGGTGTCCTAATATTTGTGGTACCCTGCCTCCTCCTCCCTTCAGGCAGTCCTGAGCAGTCTGGAGGAGACCACCCTTGGGGTTTGTTGGCCCAGCAAGGCTGCTCCTGTGATCAAAGACTGTGATATAGCCACAAAGACATAACTACTCGGCAGGGAACTCTTCTCAGAGAATACAGTAGGTTCAAGATAGATTTAGAAAATAAACCACTCTAATTCACAGACAGCTTCTAGTTAAATTTTTAAAAATGGATATAAATTAGGCCTACCTACTGCAAACAATGATAGTAACTCAGTTTCGCTTGGTTTTCAGATTATCTCATAAGGGAAATAAAACTATTGTCCTTAGATACTAACAATTTTGTTATGTGTTTACTCATTTATTCATTTGCACAATATATATTTCTTGAGGGCCTACTCAGTGCTAGGCATTATAGGAGCCGGGGATACAACAGTGAACAAAATACAGTCCTTGCCCTTGTGGAGTTTAGATTCCGTTGGGGAGGCACAGATAATAGACAAATGAACATATGATATGAAGTAAGTAGTGATGTGTTATAAAGAACGTAGAGTCTAAGGATGGACCATGAGGAGGTGGTGGGAATGGCTATTTTAGATAGAGTGATCTGACCCTTAGAGCCATGAATCCAGTCCCATCACTGGCTCCTCAATGCAAGCCTGGCAGCAGTGGCCCTGGGAAACTCCTCTATTCACCTAGCAAGAACTTGGCATTCATTGCATGACACAGCCATGCTGACCAAAGCACCAAGCCATGAACAAGCAATTCTTGGGGCAAGCGCCACCTAGTGGTTGTAAAGTGGAGTAGACCTGTGTTTCAATTCTCTCATTCATTCATTGCCTGGGAGCTTAAATGCCCATAATTCAAAACAAAATGTTAGCAAAATGCAGGGCTGAAGAACAAGGCTCTCATTTGAAAACTGATCAATTACATGTTGTTTTAAACAGCGCTGGAGAGTACCTGTTTGGATCTTTTCTTTTCTCTGCCCGACCTAAAAACTAATGACTAAAGGCGGGGGGTGGGGGGGGGTTTGTTATTGATTTAGGTCAAACGATCAACAACGCTGTGAGCACACACACACACACAGAGTACATTTCTTTTTACAGTCTAGGCACTAGGGAAGTTCTGGATATATATTCTCAAGACCAGGGGATAAAGAAATTGAAAGAATGATAAGGATAAAAAAATTACTCCCCAAATTGTCATTTTAATGTTTTAGCAGTTTTAGGAGCTACCATACCCCCTGACTTGAATTGTTCTCTGATCCTACATTTTTTTCCTTTTTTGGTGGTACTGGGGTTTGAACTCAGGGTCTTGTGCTCACTAGGCAGGTGCTCTGCCACTTGAGCCACACCTCCATTTCTTTTTTGCTTTCAGTAATTTTTTTAGATAGGATCTTGCATTTTTTCCCCAAAATTTTAGACCAGCTTTATTTTATAATAAATAATATTATGAGATAACAATATGTCACTATCAGCTTCACGGAAGGGTCTTGCATTTTTGCCTGGGGTCAGCTTCAGACCTTGATCCTCCTACCTATGCCTCCCATGTAACTGTGATTATCAGTGTGTATCACCACAACCAACTTATTTGTTGAGATGGGGATCTCACTAACTTTTTTGCCCAGGCTAGCCTCAAACTGCCAATCTCTGCCTCCTGAGCAGCTGGAATTACAGGTGAGAGTCACTGCACCTAACTTGACCCTACATTCTTTTCTAGTTCTGAAGGATAACTTTAAGGCATAATTTTGAGTTCTGTCTTTTCCCTGCAAGATGCCAAAAGTAAAAATACAAACCTAGCTCAGATCTGAGTGCTGTGCTGGGCTTTGCCTCATTACATGCTTTGAGGTTGAAAAAATGAATAGCTGTGAAGTAGGAACTGGAACTGATGCCACAGAGAGGACAGAGACCAGTCATGTGTGACAACCACACACAGCAGGAGAGCATGAGGCAAAGAGAAGAGCTGGTGGTGACCGTGGCCAGGCCTTCTTGCACAGCCTCCACAGCCTTGGGGTACCCACTGAGTGTGACCACAAGTTCATCGTTGTCATAGGATGGGATTGAGGCAGCTCATGCGTGTCGTGCCTGGTCATGGTGAGGGCAGTGTAGCAAGATGGTGAAGGAAGCAAAGCAGGAATAATGTCCCGGGAACCCTGATGTTGGTTCCAGGTTACCTGGCTTGAGGAAGGCAGCTGTGTCACAAACCTCAGTTGGAGTTTTGAGTAATGTGGGTATGCGTGTAAGAGGCTGATCAACCTTCTCGGCACCCAAGAGAAGCTGGGGTAACTCAAGCAGCATCACTCGCCCAATTTGCCCCTCCCAGCATTCCTTGCATGAGTTCTGAACGTGCCTTCTCTCTGCTGAGCACAGTGAAATGCTCTTTCTCTAAGGTTCAGTTTCCATCATGCATTCTCCCCAAGACTCCCATTATCTCTTCTGCAGTACCCCAATTCTGCCACTCATGCGCTATGTGACCTTGTGCAAATTACTTAACCTCTCTGTGCCTCAGCTTCCTCTTTTGGTAAGTAAAGATAATGACAGTACCTATCAGCAAGGGCTATTGTGAAAATTTATCTTTTTTGGCAGCACTGGGGTTTGAACTCAGGGCCTCATGCTTGCTAGGCAGGTGCTTTTACCACTTGAGCCACTTTGCCAGCCCATTGTGAGAATAAATGAATTTATATACACAGAAAATTCTTGAAGCACTTCCTGGCATGTGGCAAGGGCTCAGTAAACGTGAACTAGTGTCACTGCTACTGTGATTATTGCATTCCACTTCTTGAGACTTGGGAGGTTCGACCCATGGTACAGTCTTTGTTTTTGGTGGTACTGGGGTTTGAACACAGGGCCTCATATTTGTTGGGCGGGCACTCTACCACTTGAGCCACTCCACCAGTCCCATGGTACATTCTTAAAAGGGTCCATACTCTGCTTGTTTCTCCCATTCCACCAAAACAGAGCATTCCTTGGCTGCAGGTGTTCTGGTGGGATGTGATCTAGCACCAGAGGAGTGACAGCCACCACAGGAATGAAGGCCTGACTTGGGGTCTCACCCAAGGCCTTCTTAAAACCTCTGTCCTCCTGAGCTGGGAAGGTGAGGTGAGCAACTTTAGTCTCCTGAGACAGCTCCTCTCAGGCCGGGAACAGCACACACACAGGTGCACAGTCCAGAGGTCGGCCAGTCCTTCACCTTGCCTAACATCCTATCCTCAGTGCCTGGGGAATGGGGTGGCAATCCATTTCCTTGCTGAGCCCAGAGCCACTCATTTCCCAGAACTACCTGTTTCAAATTGGATGTTTCCACACCATGTTCAACTTTTGGTTCTAGAAACGCCATGCTCTGGACAATAGGCA